TGGGCACGGACTGCCTTCCACTCAAAGGTACCCAAAGCAGTGGTGAGCTGGGAAAGGACACAGGGATAAGCAAGCATCTGACTGGGGAAATCCCATACTTGAGGTAGTAGATGGACCCGAACGTTAGGAAACATCAGGAACACTAATCTTGTCACATAACCATTACCACAGACAACCTGAGTTGGAGCAGACCCTAGAGACCAAGAGTCTCACATTTTCAACCCCGGCACTTCCTTGAGGACCAGAGAGAAGAAACAAATATAGCTAACTTGGACAAGAAGGGATCTAGGGTTTTTAGACATAGTAAAACAATAAGGAATCCTAAATCCAGTATGAAACAGTTAACTCTAGGGCTGAGGATTTGATTTAGTTGATAGCATGCTTACCTAGCATGCATGAAGTCCCGAGTTTGTTCCCAAGCACCACATAAAACCTGGTGGGTTGGTGCACACCTGCAGTACCAGCACTCAAGAGGAAAATCAGAAGTTCAAGACCATCCTTGGCTACATAATGAGTTTGAGGCCAGCCTGAGCTACATGAGACGCCTGTCTCAAGGGAATAAAAAGCAGTTGAACTCTAGAATGGACTAACAAATGAATCTCATGGTTAATTTTAGTTGACTCTTAGTTAAGACCTGGGTAACTGTCATGAGGCTGTGCAACTTAGGATTCAGAATAAGAGTGGCCTGATTAATTGCCTGCTGTGTAGCCAACGTTATGTTAGGACTAGAGTGAAGAAACATAGTGAAAAAAAGGTACAAGGTTCCTCACCACCAAGATTTTACCCTAGTTGACAAGTAGAGGTCTTATACAGAGGATGAAACCATGCAGAAGAATGTTTAGAGAATGGTACAAAGACATGATCAGGTGTTCAGTTGGGTGCCAAGAAATAAAAGGGGACTTGAGTAAAGATGTAGGTGAGTCACTGGAGAAAGAGTCATGGATTCGAGCTGGCCGTCCAAGGATAGCTATGATTGGGGTTTGTAGAGAAGGGAAAAGGAAGGGCATTCCAGGCAGAGGAAGCAGCGTGCGTAAAACCCGGGGACTGGATTGAGTGTCTGGAGACAGAAAGGAGCAGATCGGAAATGTGTGGAACTTGTGCTAGGGAAGGAGCAGGGGCTAGGTTAGACATACGACATTGAACAGTGAGCTACAGCATTGAGACACAACCCTAGGAAGGACTGCTTCGCTCAGGAGACGGATAGGAGGCCCTCGGCATGGCGAGCGAGCACTGTGGAATGAGTGGACAGAGTGGAGGGAACGTGGGAGAAGATGGGCGAGGGAGCCCAGCTGCAGATTGTCAGGGATGGGCAGATTTGGGTAGATCGGGCATATGGAGTAGCAGAACAGCTGGGGGTGTTTCTGGGGCACAACAGCAACCACAAAACTCTGGATAGGTGTTTATAGAATGCTTCTCGTGTGTAGACTGTTTTTCATAAGAGAAAAATAGCTAAAAGAGAATCGAAAAATTCCTAAGCATTAAGGTTATGAGACAGTAAAATGGAGTATTGTCTTTGTGTTTTATTCCCTGACCTAGAAATCTGTCAGACTCCAGAAGGGCTCCTCTAGTTAGTGCCAAGAGGAATGAATACAATGACTTGTTAGTTTCTTTCAGGTCAGGGACCCAGGGTTTGTACCACCCCCTTTCTCTGCCCTGTGCTTTGACCTCTGGACCTCTTGTCTTTGGAGGTTTTCACATCAGACATTGCAGCAGACACCCATGATGGGTACTATGACTCCATTGAGTGCCCAGGGTGTCCAGGCAGGCGTCCGTTCAACTTCCATCCTGCCTGAGCAGCAGCAACAGCAACAGCAGCAGCAGCAGCAACAGCAGCAGCAGCAGCAACAGCAACAGCAGCAGCAACAGCAACAGCAGCAGCAGCAGCAACAGCAGCAGCAGCAATACCACATTCGGCAACAGCAGCAGCAGCAGATCCTACGGGTAAGGCCCCAGGATCGTGTCTGAGACTTAGGAGCCCAAGAAGGAAAGGGCATATTCTTCCCACACTGTCCCCAAGATGAAACATGATGTAATGTGCTAAGCACCCAGCAGAATGGGTCATGTTTTCTTTGGTTTCTTCAGGACCCTTCTTTCAGCAGGGTCTCATACTCATGGCAACCCTCCTGCCTCAAGCTTCCTGAATGCTGGAATTACAGGCCTACACCACCATATTAGATTTGATCATGCTGCTTAAGTGGCTTCCTTTCCCCTTCCTTTTCATTTCCTGAGGACCATCGTGAGGGGAAAATTGGACACTGTCTGCCAAATACACTGTTTGGTTTCTTTCAGATGTGGACCCAGAGTTCCCTCACTGTTCCTTGGCCCCAACTCCCTTTTCCCTTCCGGCTCCCATCTTCTCAATACAAAGTCATAGCTCCCGTGCTCCCCTTAAAATTCTCTCTTGTATGCTTATAGCAACAGCAGCAACAGCAGCAGCAGCAGCAGCAACAGCAGCAGCAGCAACAACAGCAGCAACAGCAGCCGCAGCCGCAGCCTCAGCCGCAGCCTCAGCAGCCTCAGCAGCCACACCAGCAACAGCAGCAGCAGGCAGCTCCTCCCCAGCCCCAGCCCCAGTCCCAGCCCCAGGTAGCCGCTGCACTAGATAGCTGCAGACTCAGGGATGGCAGCACAGGATGGGCAGGCACACAGGCAGCCTGTGCTAGGAAGGAACAGTGTGTGATGGGGTAGTGTTGGGAGGCCAGGCACAACACTCGGGGAGGGGTATGGGTGAGGAAAGAGGTGGAAGGTGGGAGTTCTATCTTCCACTTTCCATTTCCACCCAGTTCCAGCGCCAGGGGCTTCAGCAGACCCAGCAACAGCAACAGACAGCAGCTTTGGTCCGGCAGCTTCAACAACAGCTCTCCAGTAAGCCTGCCTCCTTCCCAAGAAGAGCCTGGGGAAGAAGCGGGGATGGGGTAGGAAGAGGTGGCCCAAGTGCTAGCTTCAGGCCCAGATAATGGAGGTCCCCTCCCCTTCCCCCTTTCCCTTCCTCATGAATATGAGCCCTGACTGGTCTTCCATCCCTGACAATCTCTCATTTTTCACAGATACCCAGCCACAACCCAGTACCAACATATTTGGACGCTACTGAGTCACCGGGAGGAACTGCTTGTACACTGGATGTGGCCCAACCTTTCTGCTTAATTCTCAGTCCCCTTCCTGGGCGAGCTCCAGTAGTGGTTGGGGTCCTTCCCTCAGGCTCCATTTTTAATGACTTTTTAGTATTTTTGTTAATGTGAAGCATTGAACTGTTGAATTTTGTATATTATTTATATAGAGACCCCAGAGCTGTTGCGCCCAATACATAGAGCTTCTTTGCAAAAGAAGTGTGTGAATCTGCACGTGGAGAGGTCTCCTCTGAGAGTGCCAGGGACAGGATGAACAACTCAGAGCCTTCATACCTTCCAGATTATCCCCCCACTCTCCCTCTACCCTCTCCATTTTGGAATTCCAACTGCTCTCCTTTCTTCCTGCTCGAAGTAACATGCAGTGAACTCTACGCCCTCAGTCCTTTCAGGACAGCTTACCTCCTCAACCAGACAGTGCAGTTCCTTTACAGTGTGCCTGCCACTGGGGACATACCACTAGAAGAGGGGGTTCATTAGGCCGGAGAGAAATCAGTGGAAGCCTGTCATCCTTCCACAGCACCCCACATACTTGGTCTCAAACAGGCTGAGGGTCGGGGCAGATGCCAGACCATAGCTTTCCTTTTCTCATCTCACATGGTCCCCATCCTACACCAAGGTAGCTAGAGAGCCTCCCCGAAGGTAACGTTTCTGGCCTGAGAAGTTGCTCTCCAAGGGCATGGGATGTCAGAGAATAGGTAGGGACAGAAGTCCAGGTTGGCTCTAGCGGGAAGAGAGGCCAGCAGAAAGCCTCGCCTGCTGCTCTCTGGCCCTGCTGCTGCAACTTCACGTTTTCACACAACCCACCTTGGCAGTTCCCAGGGTAACTTGCTCACTCCCAATTTAAAACTTCCTTCCGAGACACTTTCGGAACAGGGGCTGGACCACTCTCCCCTCTGTGACCTATCTGCCTTGGGCCTTTGACCCAGGGCTGTGCTGGAGAGCCCAATTGCTTTATGACAATGCTGATCTCTGGTCTGCCCAGCCTGGGCTGGGAGAGGACTACACTAGGCTGATGGTTGGGTGATAACTGGAAGGGACCCTCCAAACTGTAGTTGCACCCTATTGCTGGGAAGTGTTCAGTATGCTGATAAAAGCAGGCGTGCCAATCAATCAATCAATCAATATCCAAGTTATTTTGAAAAGTCCCTCTGAACCCACAAAGCCCTCCTACACATGGGATTTGCCCAAGTCATGAGTAAGGAATGGGGTTCCCAGGTATGGTAAGCCAATACACCTGAAGAATTTTTTTCCTGACTCTATCCTGGCATATATACTCCACGAGCCCCAGTGGATAGAAATTTGCTAGGATAAGGGACATTGAGCAGGGATTTGGGGGTATATGTGTGCTAGGTCAAGTGGACAGGTGCATTACATATAGAAACTAGATAAAGACATTGGCAATTGGGGTGGGGGGTGGAAGCCACAAAGGTCACACAACTAGTGTGCTAACAGTCTGAATCTGGCCTGCCTTAATAGAAGAAGCACAAGTGTATGACATTGACCTCTGGGAGGGTAATGGATGAGGGCAAAGCGGCCCCACTGGTGGTTGCTGCTCGGGTGGTGCTGGGGCTGAGGAGAGGTGATGGTTGCCAAGTAAGGCTCTGTAGCAAGAAACGGGGGTATTCTGCATACAGTGCCTCAGTTTCTCCCTGTGCGTCAAGGTCTCGAGCTTTGCAGATTAAGTTTGGATTTGCTGTCCTGGAAGATCACCTACCTGTCTGATAGCTGGGCATGTGAGGTGTGGAGGGAGTCGGGAGAGGTGGAGCAGAGCTTGCTTGAACGTGGAGTGGGGGTATTGGGCCATGCCCCAGGACTTGAGCCATCACTGGCACAAAAGGAGTTAATGCCAGGGACCGCGCCCCCCGTGTCCGGGCACGCGCAGCGCGCCCCCTTGGTGCGCGGGCACAGCAGCCAGGCTGCCGGAGAGCTGATCTCGGGGATTCGGGTGCGGAGCCCTTGGCCTGGAGGCGATATGGGTGGTCCGTGGCCGGGTTCAGTCGTTTGCAGCCGCCTGGGGAACAGGTGAGGCCGCCTGCTCCGGTCTCTCATCCTCTAGCTGCCCATACCTTTCCCCAATCCTGTCCCCTCCCAATCCCGGGTTCCTCCACCTCCCCAGCAGTGGCTCCCATCCTTCTCAACCCCGTGTTCTCCATAGGTACCCCTGACCTCCCAACCCTCCCTCGCTTTGCTTTTCTCCTCTACCTCCTCCCTAAATCCTGCATCCCTATCATCCTCCCGCCCATGGTCCCTCTATTTCTATGGTCCAGCCTGCATGCTCACCAAAATACCCCTAAGCAGAGCCCCCGGCCCCATTCTAGAATAGCATATTGCCAATACCCCCTCCCCTGCAGTGCACCCCCCATCCCCCTTCCATCATAGCATCTTATAGCCAGGTTCCCTCCCCCACTCTCTGCAGCCCCCCCACCCAACGGAGGCCTTTCTTCTGTCCTCCCCATTCTAGGGCAATTTCATCCTCCAATACCATTCTAGACCCACATAGCCCCCGATTCTGCAGTTCTCAACACTGGTCCATTCCAACACAATGCCCCTTACCCAATACCGCTCCAGCCCCCAAAGTCCCCTTAGATGCCATTCTCATCCCAGCATTGCAGCCTCCCCTTTCTTCTCCCAAATTGCAAGTTGGACCAGAATGGAGATCTTGGCCTTGGGAACTCACAGTGGGTCCTAGGGTACAGAGGGCATTTGGGGGTCGGTTGGTTTGTCTAGGTGTTCACCAGAGGGAGGGGCTGCAGCGAACTGACTCAACAGGGGAATTTGGCATTTGGCGAAGGGTTACTGGGGAGGAAGGCCTCTCGAAAGGGTTAATGGAATTTATGAGGTGGGGGCAGCATCGAGGGGGTTAATGGGGGGGGTGCTGGCAGGGAAGCCGTGTGAATGAGCGGTCTGTGCCCCAGAGTTGCCATGGAGACGGTGAATGGGGGGATTGTGTGAACTCAGCTGCGGACTACCCCCCCCATATACACACCCACCCACTCCCTCCTGCCCCACCTCCCTCTACCCCTTCCTTCCCCTTCCCCTCCTCCTTTCCTCCTCTCCACCCGGGGTGCATTCTGGGCAGTGTCTGGGATCTCCCCACCCCAATACTTTGCTCCCCATTTCCTCTCAGCCCCCATCTCTTTAGTCACTTTACCCGCCTGCCTGCTTTTCTCTCTCTCTCTCTCTCTCTCTCACACACACACACACACACACACACACACACACACACACACACACATTCTCATTCCCCTCCCTTGGTGGCCGATTGCCGGTCGTTCCCAATCTCCCTCCCCCACCCCTTCAGCCACTTCTTAAAGGAACATGCCTGCAATCTCGGAAGGCGGGAGAAATGGGGGAAAACTAAATGTGCGCCTGTGTGTGTGTGTGTGTGTGTGTGTGTGTGTGTGTGTGTGTGTACACGAGTGTGTGCGTGCGTGCGTGCGTGCTCATTGTGTGCATGCGTGTCCATGCGGGACACACATGTCTGTGTGCCTGTGTATATGTGTTGACTGTAACTGTCAGAAGGCCTGTGTGTCTGAGTGTGTTGCTATTTCTGTTTCTGTCCCCACCTATGTGTCACCATTATGCCGCCTGTGTCTGGATATTTACCTATGCGGCTATGTGTGATTTGGTTTCAGTAGGTCTCTGTGTGTGTCTGAATGTGTCACTGTGAGGCTCTGGCTGTGTGAGGCAGTCTGTTTTGGAATGTGGGACTAAATGAGGGGATCTCTGTGGGTTTGGAATGTATGTCTCTACCAGTGAATATTGCAGTGTCTGTGATCCTGGCTTGGTCTCTCACTCCCTCTTTGAGTCTTTGTGAGTTTATTTCATGAGTTCCAAGTGTATGTCCCTACACCCTGTTGTTTATTTTACACTGGACTAGCATCCACAATGCCTAGCGTGCTCAGCAGACCGATTTTTGCCTTTGCTTCTGGCATTTGATGTGAATGAAGAGCCAGGCGGCACAATGACAAAGGTTTAATCATTTGGCAGCCGTGAAGGCTGGGGGGAAGTGTCAAGGAGGGGCATGGAAGGGTCTTTGGACTCAGAGGACTGGCTCTTGGGCTCCCTGCGCTGCCTGAGGGTAAAGGGCATCTCTCTGTGGGACCCTCTGCCCGGCTGCTGCTTTTCTTTTCTTATACCTCCGAGTCCCGGAATGAAGTTGGCAGCCATACTGGAAGCCAATTCCAGCTGTCCCTATCACTACATGCTCTGACTCCAGAAGACCCTGGTGAATTCCACTGGTGATGGAGTTGGAGCCGGGGGACCGTGAATTTGCAATGGCAACAACGGCCACTCTTCATCCCCTTAGAATTTTTTCCAACCATGGCCAGGCACATAAAATAGTTCTGAAAAGCAATGGATCACCTGTGAGTCCCTAGAACCCTGGGCATGTGAAACCTCTCATTGTGGGAAAATAGGCCAAGCCCACCAGGGGCCCAAAGACTGACTCTCCAGCCCTCACAGACCATCTTAGATGACACACGCTTCCCTCTTTCCACAGGCCTGTCTGGCCCTAAGGGAGCCCTCTTTCGAAGTGGTGGTGCTTGGACGACTCGCTCTCTGCATTGCTGGGCACCTGTAGGTGTCCCTCGAGAGCTCGGTTTTGAGGTTCAAGTCAGTGTGGCCATGAAGGGGCTGCCTATTGGGCTGATGCTGTGACCCCGGAGTCTGCCTCTCCTGCCAGTACCCCTGCCCGGAACATGTGGCTGCAGCTTGGCCCGCCCTCGCTGTCCCTGAGCCCCACGCCCACAGTTGGCCGGAGTCTGTGCCTCACGCTGTGGTTCCTCGGTTTGGTGCTGAGGGCCAGTACCCAGGCCCCAGCACCCACAGTCAATACTCACTTTGGGAAGCTAAGGGGTGCCAGAGTACCATTGCCCAGTGAGATCCTGGGTCCTGTGGACCAGTACCTGGGGGTACCCTACGCAGCTCCCCCGATCGGCGAGAAACGCTTCCTGCCCCCGGAACCACCCCCGTCCTGGTCGGGCATCCGGAACGCCACACACTTCCCTCCAGTGTGTCCCCAGAACATCCACACAGCTGTGCCCGAAGTCATGCTGCCAGTCTGGTTCACTGCCAACCTGGATATCGTCGCCACTTACATCCAGGAGCCCAATGAAGACTGTCTCTACTTGAATGTCTATGTGCCCACGGAAGATGGTGAGTGCTGCGGCCAGGCACTGCGCCCTCCTTGCCTCCCGCCTGCCCTGTCGTGTTTGTGGCTTGCATGTGGTTGTGTGCCCTGCAGCATGCGTCTGTCTGTCTGTGAAAATGCTTCTAACCATCACTCCGCTTGGCCTTTTCCCCTCCCTGTTCTTCCCTCTCCCGGCATTGTCCGAGCTCCCATGTGTGAGTGATACTGATGCCAGAAGGGGGCTGGCCAGGCCTGAGAGCTTTGACAGGTCTAGGTCCAGTGCTGGATGGGGGTACCCTGGGGGAGTATGGGTGACTGCTGGCAGCTGCCCGCGGGAGGATGCTGGCTCCACCAGGCCCTCCTGTTGCCATTCCACCTGCTTCGAAAGGTGGTAGGTGTGTGTGGCTGAGGGAGCTGGGCGTGTGGGGGGGGCGGGGGGCCAGCCTGGTTGGCAATGCTTAGGTGCCTCCTCTCCCACTAGCTGATGCCTCCTCCCGCGGGGGTCACATTAAGGTAAGTGACAGAAACAAGGAGATGGTGGGACAGGCTCTCTGCCATGTGCCGCTGCAGAGCAGCTCAGCTCTTGGGGCCTGGGTGGGGGGGATGCATGCCCCTGGGCAGAGGCCTCCTGTTATTTTTTAGTTTTTTATTCATTTTACAGTAAAGCGGATTTCCAAGGAATGCGCCCGAAAGCCCAACAAGAAAATTTGTAGGAAAGGAGGTAGGTAGCGAGCCGGCGGGGAGGGAGAGAGAGAGAGAGGGAGGGCTGCTTGCCCACCTGCCCCTGCCCCCCGAGGACCCAGTCTTCCTTCAAGTAGGCCAGGTTGAGAGGGCTGTGAGCAGACTTAAAGGTCCCAGGCTTACAGCCCTACCTCCTCCAAGGGCCCTGGCTGCTTTGCAGAGAGGATCCCGTGGCCTAAGGCAGGTTCAGAGCAGAAGCAGAAAGCCCATCACTGCCAATCTCCCCAGCTTCCCCAAGGAGGGTACCAAAGATGGAGCTGGTGGCTCTTTTGGTCACACCTCCGTAGAAAGCAGGCTTTCGAGGTGGAGCCAGAAGCTCCGCCTTCCCTGCAGCCGCTGCAGAGACAAGGACCATCCATCCCTCCAGTACTCAGTCCTGGGGTGAAGGTCTATACTCAACTCTCCCCTCCTGAAGCTAAAGGGATACTCGGGGACACAGATTTATTTGCTCTTCTGTAGCACGCACTCTGCCCCTGCCTCACCACCTCTGGCCAGAGCATAGCCGAAAGACCCAGGCGCTTCTGTGGCAGAAATTGGAAATCTCTGGAAACTGTAGACTCTAAAGAAAGCCAATTTTAAAGTCGGCCTCCTGCTGAAAGGAATTTGTTTCCCCATATAGTAATGTTTCCTGTTTGCACACCACTTTATGTTTTCTGCAAGGGTTCTCATATTTACCTCGTAAATGCCTCTCCACAGCTAGGGAAGCAAGCAAGGCAGGAAGCAGGATTCCGATTTTACAGATGAGGAACCGAGCCCAGGGGAGTGACTTGCTGCACAAGGCCCCGTTGCTGGTCTAGAGCAGATCTGGGGCCAAAACCTGGGGCTCTTGACCCTCAGGAAATGTTCTTTCCACTGTAGCCCATGGAGGTAACTGCCACCTGGCCAATCCCACCTCCTTAAAACATAGAGCAGATGCGGCTGGGTTGGGCCAATCGGCTCTGGCAACAGCCTAAGGAACAAGGACAGCCATAACTCGACCCTTACAAGGCTTTAGCAAGCTCGGCCTTTGTTTTCCTTTGATGCTCTAGGGCAGGGTTTCTCGGGTGTCATCAGGATTCCTGAGATGGAACGATCCCTACTGAATGAGAATCTCTAAGGACAGCCGCAGAATCAGCACATTCAAAAGCTCGTATGTGGAGGGCTTTTGATGCATGCTAGAGCATGGAGTCAGACTTGCGAACAGTTTTTACCATTTTTTTGCCTCTCTTCACATCCAGCCCAGGCCCTCACACGCAGTGGGAAGCCCGCACAGGCTCTCATGCAAATGAAGGATTTCTGTAGTACGGCCTGAGCAAGAGCACTTGTCTAGGGAGCGCAACCCTTGACTGACTCCTGGCCCCTGCTGCCAACTCATATGCCATTCTTTTGATTCTCTTTCATTTTTCTTTGCTTTGCTGTGTTTTATTTTGGTTTTGGAGCCAGGGTCTTGCTATGCAGCTTGGGCTGGCCATGAACTCTTTATATAGTCCAGGCTCAGAGGTCAGTCTTTTTTTTTTTTCTTCTTCTTCTAAGAACCTCCATTTCCATATGGAAAGGCAGAAAGACCATCCTGGCTGTGGCCTTCCATTAACATATCCGTGTATTCAGGGAAAGGGTTTCAAAGCTGCTCTCCTGAGTTACTGCTTAGTGGGATGCAGTGGGCTGAGGAAGAGATACATTAGTATAAGCCACTGCTTAGGAAGAAAGATCTTTCAGGGCTCTAGGAAGAGCCCAGGGCAGGCCAAGCTCATGCTGAGATTTTGGCCAGATTGCTGACTGGGAGCCATCATGCAGTGTGACTATTTTGCCAACTGTAATTGTGGACGATGGGCAAGGTGCTGTTGGGCTGTGAACGGAGTCTAATCATTGTTCAGAAGACGCTCCTACACTGGCACTAAAATTCTGCTGGGTTCCTTAAGTCCATAGGCCCGTCTGGGAAGCGGGCTTGGGATAGGATAGGGGAGAGCATTTGTTTAACTGTTCAAATTAGTTCCCCATCCCAGGCCCCATCCTGGGCCTGTTAGCCATTTGAAAAAGTTATGAATCTTGCCTCTTTGGGTGCACAGTCTGTGTGTGTGTGTGTGTGTGTGTGTGTGTGTGTGTGTGTGTGTGTGTGTGTGTGTGTGTGTGTGATGTACAGGGCAGCTGGGGTGGCCTATATGGGATCCTACATGGCACCATGTCTGTGGGTGGTGCCTGGTAAAGCCCATGGCAGCAAGGAATTGTTCATCAAGGACGTGCTGAAGGCGCAGAGGGATCTGTACAGGGGAGGCTGGGACAAGGATGAGGTGATGTAGCAAGCCAAGTACCCTCAGAGCGGCATAGAAGGAGCCCCCGGAAGTGAAGGATGTCCTGGGAAGGATCTTCCCCAGCCCTACCTCCGTGGAGGGGAAAGGCATTTATGTTTAGGAATGAGTGATTCTGTTTGGTGGCAGATCCACTGTGTGGCCATGTCTCATTGAGATTCTGAGGGCAAGACTGGGAAGTATCGAGCTAACATGTTAAGACAGTAGGTACCACTGAAAGTTCAGGAAGCCAGGGGCTGTTTCTCCTAGAGCTGGGCTTTTGCCCAAGTTGAAAGGCCATCTTGTAGTATGAGAGTAGTTCCTGTTTTGATCAATAACTATAAGGACATTCAGTCGCCAGAGTGCAAACCAACAGAGAAAGGGCCATTTGCTTGCTCCAGGTTCAAGGTATCTGTAATCATGGAAGCAAGGGGGTAAGATGTGGGGTGACAGCAGGATTGACTCCATTTTGATACTGACCAGCAACCAGGCAGTAGATCGATCGTGTCTTTTCACAGCCATTCCAAAATGTACTTCTAGTCTCCTCAGAACAGGAAGGAGAGGGGGTGCCAACCTACCCCCCAGGTCCGGAATACCTTCCTTCCTCCTCTGGCCTCTTTTCTCTCCTCTCCTTTCATGCTCCACCTCTCCTCCCATCTACTTCTTCCTTCCCTTTTCCTCTCCCCTGAAAGGTGGCACGATGCAGTGGAAAGACCATAAAGGCTTTGGAGTCAAGCGGACCTGGGTTTGATTCACACTTCTAGCACTTCCTAGCTGTGTGATCTTGAGCAAGTCACTTTACCTCTCTGAACCTCAGTTTCCCCATCAGTGAAAGAGGAATAAAGATGATGCCAACCTCATTGGGATGTAAGGATCAAGCAGTACAGTAGAAATAGAATGTCTGGCATGTGGTAGATACTCAGTATATGGTAGGAACCATCTCTCTCTCTCTCTCTCTCTCTCTCTCTCTCTCTCTCTCTCTCTCTCTCCCTCCATTCCCTTCTCCTTCCCTCCCCCTCTGGCTCTCTCCTAGAGCAACTCTTGCTGCTCTTAAAACTGGTTCCTGTGGGCAGGAGCCCTATTTGCCATTATCAAGAGCAAGGGGGGGCGCAGTGAACAAGGCCAGAGGAAAAATTTCATCTCCCATCTTCTCCTGCGGGAATCAGGGTCAGCTGAGGCCCGGCTCGAATCTGCCCACTGGGACTTGGGAGCTCAGACCTGGGGTCCCCGGTAATCACCTCTGCCTTAAGTATGTTACATAGATATCCGCAGATGCTGGCCTTGTCACCCCTCCCCTTCAGTACCTATCCCTGCCCTCCAGCTCAGCCTGCCTGTGTCTACACATGCAGCCCTTCCATCCAGAATGAAGTCTCCGCAAATGGGCCTCTGGCTCCGTGCCCCAGCCCACCTGCTGCTACCTCCTTCCTAACTGAATGAACTTGGTTGGGGCCAGGGAGGCGGGCCAGGGAGGTGCAGGGCGGTCAGCACAGCAGAGGCCTGCAACACCATCATCCTGATGAAGGTCTGGGCCTCAGCCCACCCATTCCCTCAGTTCTTGCCATCCCTCCTGCCTGTCCTGGGCCCAGGCCCAGAGCTGGCTTGCTGGGCCACACTGCAGTCATGCTGTTTTTGAATTCTCTCTCTGTTTTGTTCTCTGTTCTGTGCTGTTGTGTCTCCCCGTGTCTGGTCCCCAGGATCCGGCGCTAAGAAACAGGGCGAGGACTTAGCGGATAATGACGGGGATGAAGATGAAGGTATTTGGGGGCTGCAGGGCGCGGCGGCTGGTGCATGGCACAGAGCCCCTCCCCTTCTCAATGGGGAGAAGCCCCGTCTGTCTGTCTGTCCGTCCGTTGGTGTGTTTCCGTTCCTGTACAAAGCCGCTGGGCTGTTCCTTCGTCTTTGGCCTCATTGGCCACTGGGACTTCTGGGGTAATGGACACGGCTGGCAGGAGCAGGGGACTGACCATAAGTAGATCCATAGGGGGGGTGTCTTCCTGGCCCTGGCCCCTGACCCTCTCCCATCTTCTATGATTCATGGGCATCTGCCCATATGTGGCAGCAGAAATGGTGAAGAGCAAGCAGGGCCAGGGAGGGTGGGAATTGGCACAAAGTAAGCTGGATGGTGAGAGGATGCTTGGGATTCACTAAGGAGACCTCTGGGTCTCATGAGGAGCCTAGCTCCTGGGAGAGTGGCCCTGTAGGGCACACCAAAGGGCAAGACAGGGACATTCAAGGCTGACACTTCCCGAGCTTTCTCCCCCAAAAGAAAGACAGCCACAGGACCAGAGGTTGCAGTAGGTTGGGAACAGAACCAGAAAAACTGTGACCTAACCTGCCAGACTGAGGCCCAGATACCACAGCCATCAGTAGATGAACTAAGATTAAGATTCTCGGGTGGTAATGGGACCAGCCTTCCTCCTTGGGATAACGAGATTGTTTGTGCTGCAGCAGAGAGCTTTTCCTTCTCCACCCATGCTCTGGGCCCCGCCCCTTTGGAGGCCCCGGAGGGGCCAGGCAGTTCAGGGGATCCACTGGTGACCGGCAGGCCTGTGCCGGTGTGGCAGAGAGTGGGCCAGCTCACAGACTGACAGGTGACAGGCAAGTCAAGGTCGGGCCTGGAGCCTTCTCTTGACTGCTCCATCCCAACCCCATGCTGACTGGGCTTGGAAGCACCCCTCGATGGGTCCTCCGGCACTGGCCTGGGTGGAGACTTCTCCTACATCTTAACTCTGGCTGGGGAGGCCTTCTCGTGCCAAGTTCTGCTCCAGCCCAGTGTTTCCAGCTAAGTTTGCCCAGGAAGAATGGGGGATATGGGAATGTGGTTAAGACATCCTGTCTATAAGGTTCCCCCACCCCATCTCTGCCATTCACTACGCCCCCTTTCCCCACCTTCCTGTTCTCTCCCTGTGCCACCCCCTTCCCCCACCCTTCTTGTCTCTGTCTGCACTGGGGGGGATCCAGCTGCTGCCAATGGCCGTTTTTCCATGTAACTGGTCTAGTCCTGGGGGTTTTCAGGGCTCCCCAGCTCCTGCTTTCTAAAGCCATGTCAGGTCCCAGGACTCCTGGGTGCGCAGGGCAGGAACTCACCTGATGCTGCTAAGGAACCACCAAGCCCTTTCTTTATTCCTTGTCATCCCAGAAGCCAGCCGTGGCCACCCAGGCCCAGATGAATTATGCCCACATGGTCATCTTCAGTTGGGAGGTGCTTGAAACCCAAATCTTGACAAACATTATGCAAGTTCAGCTCTCTCTGGCCAATACTTCAACTCTGGGCCTAGCAGCCCCACGAGTCCTGCCCTCAGGGATGGCGGTAGTGTCCTGGCACCTGGAATAGCTTTGCTGTCCGCACCCCCCCCCAGGGCTGGCGGGGGTAGGGGAGCAAGGGCATCCTACCTAGCCTGTGTCTCACCCCTTCTCCTTACAGACATCCGGGACAGTGGCGCTAAGCCTGTCATGGTCTACATCCACGGAGGTTCCTACATGGAAGGGACAGGCAACATGATTGACGGCAGCGTTCTTGCAAGTTATGGCAACGTCATCGTCATCACCCTCAACTACCGGGTCGGGGTGCTAGGTATGGTTCTCTGCCAGGTGCCTAGAAGGAAAGCTGCCTTTGAAGGGAGGGGGAAAGACTCCTGGGGAAGTTAACTCACGCAGTCTTGGAGCTCTAGCTGGTTGGTGCTAATGACCCAAGTCATGATGTTCCGTCACCCTTACCCAAATACCAGGGGGTTCCTCTCATCTCATCCCCAGCTTCTTTTTCAGAATAATTAGATGCCAGTGGAGATACAGTTCAAACTTTATACATTTTTTTTAAAGGAGGGGTTAGACTGGGTAGCTTAGGCTGGTCTTGAACTCCTGGTCTTCCTGCTTCCACCTCTCAAGTGCTGAGATTATGGGCATGGGTCATCACGTATGGCTCAAACTTCACACCAAGTCTCAAGCCAGGCCTCTGTTACCAGACCTCTGCTTGGCTGGATTTTGTAGGCCCTGTTAATTTTCTAGAGTCTTATCTTCATCGATACCCACCCAGCCCCACAGTCCTAAGTACCTATGCATACACAGATATTCCTTCTAATCTACCCTTAACCACACACCCTTATACACTCACACATCACGTCCATCCACCCACTCCCACACATACAAATACTTCTCACTCCCCGAGGCGCATGTGCACACAGCTCCAATCCACTCCTACACACACCCTCACAGAGCGAGACTCATACAGTCTCGCTCACACACATATCCACATACCCACACACTATATGCTCTACATCCACACCCCACACAGATTTTTCTCACCTTCCATATATATACACACATTCTTATACTGTGCTCCACATCTCTTATCCACAGATACACCATGCATACCACACACACCCAGAGTCACAATTTTTGCTGCCCCTATATTGACACCTTACACAAACACCTAGACTCTGTACATCCACACCCAAATTCCACATACCTTATATATACAAAAATATGCTTTCCACTACCCCTACACATCTACACACACATGCACACATGCATGCTTTCGTGTCCTCCTACATGTCCCACTTGTGCATTCGCTTCACACATGATGTACTTCACATATGCATACATTTATCTCTCTCCTGCTGTACATAACACAAACCAATATTCTTTCTCCTTACATGCATTTAACTTCCTATATGTCCACAACACCCTACCCCACAAATTTACAACTACACACACACACACACACACACACACACACACACACACACATGCACACACACAGCCTCTGCTTCCACACTGGTAACCATTCCATTCACTGGACATATATCCCCTTCACACATGCACACCAAATAGACCCCCTCCATATACCCAGATGGATACACATGTACACAGTTTTCCCACATATACTCTGCCAATATATACCCAATACATACGCATGTGCTCATCCCCTTCTTTCAAATACACATACATACATCCTTGTACCTAGAGCTGCATCTACACACACACACACACACACACACACACACACACACACACACACACACACCTATATCTGCCTGAACCACATTCATGTTCCCTCATGTATACACATGTACACGCTCATCCCTTCACTCTTACCCATGATGTGCACCTATTCATACTCATACACATACATGTATTTCCCAAAGTGTCCCCCATGTACCACCACGTATCCTACCCATCATATACTCTGGCTGTTTGGGTGATTTCAGCTGTTTGTGGATCTTATACCTTCTTTCATGACTGCCAGCACCCATCTGTGGCCAAGGTCTTGAGGTGAACAATACCCCAGGGAAGATGACAGAGGACATAGGACCTTGCTTCCTTTTAGATGCTCATTCAGGTTCCACATTCCGGTAGTGGCATGAAGAAGCCACCTTCTTCCCTGGAGGATTATGTCCTCGGGGTTTCTGTGGGGGTCTGTGGACCCAGATGTTGAATCAGTAGTGCATCTGGTTGCTGAGCAGGAGCTACATTGTTTGCCAGTCCCAGTCCCAGCAGCCCTGGTGCCACATTTTGCTTCTGGGCAGGGTTATATGCACAGAATGGCAGTCTCCTCTTGACTTACCCACAATTCTGTATGGGATATACACCTATTTGGGGCCAATCTGGAGAAATGAGGCTAGGTGTGGTGATGCACGCCTTTAATTCCAGCACTTAGAAGGCAGAGGTAGGTGGGTCTCTGTGAGTTCAAAGTCAGCCTGGTCTACAGAGCGAGTTCTAGTGTAGCCAGGGCTACATAGTGAGACTCTGTCTCAAAAACAAAACAAAACAAAAACAAAAATACCAAACCTCTGGAAAAATGAACGCCTGAAAAAAATGTTTTAGACTGTGTCTCCTTCCGTGGCTCCCTGGGACCCTAGTTATGGAACATGTAGGGCACCTCCCTGGTCTCTTCATGGTCTGACAGGCTTTAGACTTCGTGGTTCTTCCCTGTTCCCCTGTCTTCCTGTACTGCCGGAATGTGCAGAGAATACTAAGACTGTGAGCCGATACCATATTGTCAGAGCAGCAAGGAATGGAGGAAAGGAAAGCCTGGGGAAGAAAGCAAGCCAGGAAAAAGTAAGGAAAAGACTGCAATGGCTGATGAGGGAACAGAGGCTGGGGACCACTGGGACATGAGGCAGAGAGGAAATACTTTCTTCAGCAGGATTCAAGGGCTCCACGGTACCAGTCAGGAGCTGTGGGCTGCATGAAAGGCAGCTGGTTGGGAGCACTCTGTGTGGTTACCCCTCATCTCTTCCGTCACTGTTTTTGGCTTCTCTATGAGAAATTCGTAATCTTTTGCGGAGGCCTTGCACTCTTCTGAGATTATGATGACCGCTGTGGATTCTTCATCAAAACAATACAGACACACACATAATTTTTTGTTTTTAAAGACTAATCTTGCCACGTGGTGGTGGCACACACCTTTAAGAGGCAGGCAGATATCTGTGAATTCGAGGCCATCCTGGTCTATAGAGTTCCAGGACAGCCAAGGCTACACAGAGAAACCCTGTCTCAAATACAAAAAACAACAACCAACCAACCAACCAAAAGACTCTCAACATGTAGCCCAGGCAGCCTTCAACTTGAGACCCTCCTGTCTATGCATCCAAGTACTGGGATTATAGGCCTACATCACCACACTCAGCACACAAACAGTTAAAAGGAGAACCTCATAACTCCCCCCTGAAGCTCAGCCATGACACTCAGCCTAAGATCATTGACTTTACAGCCTCGTCTCATTTGGATAATCAGAAAAGTGTATCTTTGAGCTTAAGCAATTAATGATACAAATACCATTACTCTACACTTAGAAAGAGTCATAAGCTTAGATTTGGTCAGGAGTTCCTGATCCCTCCCTACATACTCTGCAGTGCCTATTCTGGAGCACGCATAAAATCAATAAGCCACTGATTGCCTTCTGGGTACATACAAGATGTTTTTGTCTCTTGGCACTAGACGTAGAACATGAGTTTGTTCCTGACGCTTGGGGAGTTTGTTATGTAGCTCAGGCTCTGCTGTTTTGATTTTCAAAGTATATTTAAAAAAAAAAAAAACAGGTGGCCAGTTTAGGACTCCAGTTATATACATCCACGTGCCTTCTCCCCACCAGCATCTCCTGGGCACTGAGTGCAGCCAGCCCATGTAAGAAGCTTCTCGAAGAATCTGAGAATGTGGGCAAGTTAATTCATAAAGATCTCCCCCAACCCCTGACCCACCAAGGCGGAGGGGGAGCTAATATGTGAGACACTCCCGCTGGGCATGGAGCCGACGAAGCAAAAAGGGGTCCAGCAGGAGAGAGGCTGTGGATGTACCTAGAGGTAGTGGGTATACTGAGAACGCAATGGCTTGCCAAGTTTAGTCTGGGTTTCAGAATGAAGTTAATTCCACATCATTGCTCAGGTATCTTCCAGGCAAGCTGAAAACATGGTGAGTGACAATCCTGAAGTGACACAAATACCTAGTTTTGATGCAATCTGCCAGATTCCTCCATCTTCTGTTGACAAGCAGCTTATGTATACCGCAGTATAAACTTGGGTTCAAGGAGGCTGACTCACATTTATTTTGACAACATGTGGAGTCGGGTAGTTGAGTCTTTATTCTCACATAGTTTCTGTGAATGGCCACGTTCCTAGGAAGCTATCAATGAGTGGCTTTTCTCCTAGGCTGCAAGGCTTTGTGCACTCCTGGTCAGTCATGCTTAACCCATCACCTTCGGAGCCCGTTGGCTGTAGTACTTGAAGAAGAGCTCTCTGTGTAGTGAGGATCAATGGCATGGCCCCAGCCACATACTTCACTGTTCCTTATCTGGAAGCTCCTGAGGTTTGAGGGAGCAGAGGGATGGCCAAACTCTCTCTCTACATACTCAGGCTTTTCAGGCAGCTCTCTCTCTCTCTCTCTCTCTCTCTCTCTCTCTCTCTCTCTCTCTCTCTCTCTCTCTCTGTCTCCCCCATACCCCCTTTCTCCCTAGGGTATTGCCCTGTAGTCCAGGCTGGCCTTGAACTCACTCCATGTGGCCTTGAACTCAAACATTCTCCTGCCTCTGCCTTCTGAGTGCCATGGCAGTGTGTGCCAACCCCCAACCATGTCGAATGAACTAGGACAGACAACTTGAACATATCTCACTGAACGATGCCTTGACAAAGATTGAAGGCACATCGGCTATTGTTTAAGTGAGAGGAAGGGAAGAAAGAATAAAGGGGAGGTGGAGGAGAGAAGGCAGACACATGGGAGAATTTGCTAGAGATCTCAAGGCTTGGGCAGCTGAGTTGGGTGTTGGCTGGCATAGGTTGTTGTCTTTGCCCCCAGCCCAGCCCAGTATAGGTATTTTTTAAAATTTATTTATTAAATAATTTAATTTTACATATCAGCCACGGATTCCATTGTTTTCCCCCTCCCACCCCATAAATGTGTTTTTTTTTTAAGACAGGGTTTCTCTGTGTAGTTTTGGTGCCTGTCCTGGATCTCACTCTGTAGACCAGGCTGGCCTCGAACTCACAGAGATCCACCTGCCTCTGCTTCCCGAGTGCTTGGATTAAAGGTTTGTGCCACCACCACCCAGCTCCAGTATAGGTTTTAAGAGTCACAGGAGTCACATGCATTTCTGAATGAGACCTCCCCCCTACAGAAACACTGCATCCCCCCCACACACACACACATCTGAAGGAATAGAGTTCTTCCACTCATGGTTCTCAAGCTTGCTCTAATGCCCTTTCGTTTTCTCATCTGGAACCTGGGGTTATGGAAGACACGCACCAAGGTTCTGGGGGGAATAAGTAACTACTTACATACTTAATTTTACCAAAGGAAATTAATAACACCCTTGAAGATGGTAAGATGACTTCTTTTGCAGAAGCTAGGTACAGAAAGACCTGAAAAAAAATAGTGATGTGGTTTCTGCCTGCTTGGCTCTATTTGAATTAAGCTTCTGCCTGCAGACTGCCAGGACTGCCAGCCAGCTCTCTGTGAGCTGTGGGTTCCTCCAACATGGCCCTGAACCAAGCTGATTCCAGGTGCTGTGAACAGGCTTTTAACTGTGGAGTCAAAGAAGACTGATCCAAGTGTAGGTTTCCAGGGTGTAGGAGCATAGCAATTACACCCACCTGGAAAGGACCCTTCCAGAAGTGTAGGGCAGGAGAAGATAGATGGAGCCTTCCAAGGAATCCAGGGACCAAGGAGGAGATAGAGGGACGAGACAGCAGGATCAGTCTAAAATGGAAGGGGGTGATATAGGACATCTCTGTGGGATAGCCAGCAGGTGGGCGGGAAGGTAGTCTCCATGGTAACAAGTCTCCACAGCAGCAAATCCCAGCAGGTGGGTGGGAAGGTAGTCTCCATGGTGACATGTAGTCTCCTCAGCAGCAAATCCCAGTGGGTGGGCGGGAAGACCTGTTTCTGTGGTAACGCAGCACACTGACTTCCTCATTTCTCCACCAGATGAAAAAGATGATCTGACCCAGTGGCTTCTCAACTTTAGCAGGCGTCAGCATCACCTGGAGAGCTTGTTAACAACACAGATAGCTGGGCTGCATCCCCTAGAGTTTTTGATTGCCTAGGTGTTGGAGGAAGGGAAATGAGAGCAGCCCTGAGAGTGAGGAGAAGGGGCCATAGCAAAGCCCTGGAAAGAACTGGAGGTGGACAGATTCGCACAGGAAGGGCAAGGCGAGCTTAGGGACTGCCGCCTGTGTGCTCTTCACTTCAGAGAGAGAACGAAGGGAGGAATGTAACTGTAGATCTACCATGTGCTTGGCTTATGCTCATTTTATCCTCGTTACAACCCTTTGAGGTATTTTTATCCCCATTTTACAGAAGAGGAAACTACAGCCCAGAGATTTTAAATAACTTGCCGAAGGCCACATGTCGAAGATGCTGGATTTAACCAAGGGCTGTTTGGCTCCAGGGTCCTTGCTTTCTCCACTGTATCTTGCCTGACGTTAGGGTCACATCCCCAGATACTACATTAGGGCAGAGAATGCTGAGTTCTGGCCATTTGCAAGCCCTGCAGTTGAACTCTTCTGCCTAGAGGAAACAACCACCTCAAATGTTCTGCCCCCTCCATCCAAACAGGATCATGGGCAGGCGGCAGGGTGTCTACCCTGCCTATAGTGGTGATGCTGGGCCTTGCAAAAAGAAGCACTGGTTTATGTTAGCATTAGTGAGGTGGGAAGTACTACATGGCTGCATGCTTATCCTTCCTGTGGTATCTTTCCAAATCCATTTCTGCCATCCTAACCCAAATCCTGCATCCCTTCCCCTTCATTATCCTCATGCCTTTTGTTAAATCTAGGTTTCCTGAGCACTGGGGATCAGGCTGCTAAGGGCAACTATGGGCTCCTTGACCAAATCCAGGCCCTCCGCTGGGTGAGTGAGAATATTGCCTTCTTTGGAGGAGATCCCCGTCGAATCACTGTCTTTGGCTCGGGCATCGGTGCATCCTGTGTTAGCCTCCTCACACTGTCTCATCATTCTGAGGGTGAGTAGCTCTTGAGGACCAATATAGAACAGTTTAATGCTGGTACACCTTGAGCTCCAGAATGCCTGGCTCCATATCCCAGATGTGCCCAGGGGAATCAGCCCACCCTCTCCCACCAGTTCTGTCCCTGGGGGATGAGGGGGTGGAAAGGAAATCATTCCGTGCAGGAAGAACTACTTCTCCTCATGCGAAAGAATCCCCATTCACACCCTGAGAACGGTGCTCGTCTCACATAGGAGTCTTATTTGGGAGAGTGGGAATAGAATGCCTCTCTCTAAAGGGACAATAATTCCTTGTAGGTGAGGAAATCTTTCCGTATGAAGGGCCTGTTACTTCAGAGTCAAAATCTAAGGTGAAAATTGGTTTCTAGGTGTAAGAAACACTCATTGTCTATCTTTCTTGGGGAAAAAAAAAGTCTGTACAGGAGAAGTGATCTAGCGTGAGAGATGGGTCCAAAGTGAGACGCTCTGGCCTGGGACATGGGCTGCCCTGAGGGAGGCAGACTGTTGTTGGACCACAGGCTCCCTCCTGGGCTATCCACCTCGCTGAAAGAACACTCATTTCCCTCCTGTTTCTGGTGTGGGTCCCTCTGCCAGTGAGTTTCTGAAGGGCTTGCAGAGACCCTATTTTGCTAGGCAGGGGAATGTTCTCTTTCTGTCTAGACGATAGAACATTATACCTCTGAAAGGCAAAGCTGAGCTTCTTATGGAGAAAAGTTGTCCTTGAAATAAGTGTCCTTCTCTAAAGTGAGGGAGAAATGTGAGCGAGAAGACATTTTTATGGTTGAGATTGACCTCATGAGGGGGTGCTCTTACAAGAGCCTCGGCATCTTTTGAAGAAGGCTTGTCTCTGAACACGAGGCGGCAGCTTCACTGCCTCAGCAGCTCTGTCCCTGTGCCCCTCCAGAAACAGCACTGGAGGAAGACTAAAATGTGCCGCTTGCATCTGCAAAGAGAGGAAACAGGAAGCCAAGCATGGTGGTGCACACCTGCAAGCCCAGGGCCTAGGAGGCTGAGGCAGGAGGACTGCCATGAGTTTGAGGCCAGCCAGGGCTTCCAGCAAGACTTTGCACACACACACACACACACACACACACACACACACACACACACACACGCAGACATATGCACACGTACGTGCGCGCGCGCGCGCGCACACACACACACACACACAGGGAGGGAGAGAGTATGAATGGGCGAATGAATGAAGGGAAGGAGGCCTGAGTTCCATCCCCAGCACCACCAGAAAGAATATCTGTTTCTAGGTGACAGTAGAGAGAACAAGACTCCTCTTTTTCCCTCTAGAGGAGGGTGAGATGACTGGCTGTAAGGGCGCCTGTGTCTGAAGAGAGGCCTGGCACCTCTTCTGACTGGGACTCTTTCCTGGAATGACACTGTGCTGTGTATCTTAAGGGGGACTATGACTCTAGAGACCTGGCTTCTTTAAAGATTTGCTCTCCCCGGGTTAGAGGTACGGCTCAGTGACAAAGCATTTGCTTACCCTGTGGGATGCTCTGGGTTCTATTCCCAGCACTAATAAACGTATCATGGAGAGTATCTGGGAAAACGGCTCTCTCTTCAGCAGTAATCCATACTTCTCTCCCTCTCTCGGCTCATGCAAAAGCATCCTTCCATTGCCCCTGCGCACCTGAGAACCAAATTCTCCCTTGGGAGCATTGGAGCCAGAGAAAGATAGTTCTTTCTTCTGAGAGCTGCAAGAATCGTCTTCTTTTTGAATTGGGGGGATGGGATCCCTCTAGCTATGGGGAATCTGGATGTGATATGTCCGTAGCTTCAGCAAAAGGGGATCTGTGCAGGGTCCACACTGCCAGGGCACGTGCCAGGAGACTCTCAGACCCCAGGGCCTTTGCTCTTGGGATTCATCCCTAAACTCCCAGAATGTGGGGCTCTCTCCTGCCTGCATTTCTCATCTCTCATGAAAAAGACCCCTTTGTGGTGTAAGCGCCAGCTCTCTGGTGGTGCGTTGGCACAGAACTGGGCCCAGCTGGGCAGGAAGCAAGAGGAAAGACAACGAGTGATAAAGAGAGGAAGGAGCATAAGGAGGCTCATTTCTGGGACCCAAGGGGTTAATTCTCGCTGACATTTCCCTTAACCCTCAAGTTACCAGGCCCTGTACCAGGACTGGGAAACAGTGGGGTGGGGGCTCCACGGGGTTCAGCGATCAAAGGAGGAGCTCTACAGCCCCACTCCGGTCCTGCCCTGCCATCCCCTGCTAAACGATTAGCTCCTCATTCCTAGCCAATCCACAGCACAGGGGGACCTCAGTGACAAAGGATAAAGGGTGCTTTTTGATCATATGCGACATGACAACTCTGACCCAGTGCCACCTATATTCTGTAGGGCTTTTCCAGAGGGCCATCATCCAAAGCGGCTCTGCTCTATCTAGCTGGGCTGTGAACTACCAACCAGTGAAGTACACCAGTTTGCTGGCAGACAAAGTGGGCTGTAACGTGCTGGACACCGTGGATATGGTGGATTGTCTTCGACAAAAGAGCGCCAAGGAGCTGGTAGAACAGGACATTCAGCCAGCCCGCTACCATGTGGCCTTTGGCCCTGTGATCGATGGTGATGTCATTCCTGATGACCCTGAGATCCTTATGGAACAGGGAGAGTTCCTCAATTATGATATCATGCTAGGTGTCAACCAGGGTGAGGGTCTCAAGTTTGTAGAAGGGGTGGTGGACCCTGAGGATGGTGTCTCTGGCACTGACTTTGACTACTCTGTCTCCAATTTTGTGGACAATCTGTATGGCTATCCTGAGGGCAAAGACACCTTGCGGGAGACCATCAAGTTTATGTACACAGACTGGGCAGATCGCGACAACCCCGAGACCCGCCGTAAGACACTGGTGGCGCTCTTCACTGATCACCAGTGGGTGGAACCTTCCGTGGTGACAGCTGACCTGCACGCCCGGTATGGCTCGCCTACCTACTTCTACGCCTTCTATCACCACTGCCAGAGCCTCATGAAGCCCGCCTGGTCAGATGCAGCGCACGGGGATGAAGTGCCCTATGTTTTCGGCGTCCCTATGGTAGGTCCCACTGACCTTTTCCCCTGCAACTTCTCCAAGAACGACGTTATGCTCAGCGCGGTTGTGATGACCTATTGGACCAACTTTGCCAAGACCGGGTAAGGAGAAAATGGGATGTCTTCTTCTTTGGGACCCCAGCATGCCTGCCCTGTGCTCCTCCTACCTAACCTCTTCCATTATCTCCCTTCCTGTGCAGTTCCCCAAATCTTGCTTGTTAACCCCTTTATTCCCCTTCTTGGCATGGTGCTGTGCTATTTTCCTTGAATTTTGTTGTTGTTGCTGTTGTTGAAGTGGATAGTAGAACTCTTGCTTAACACGCCCCAGGCTCCGGCACCCAGCACCACTAAACAGTAATTGTGTTGAGGCTCAGAACTCTGTTAGCATCAGGACTGAGCAGGAAGGCATTGCTGGTAGAATGGTGGGGTTCAAGGTTAGCTGGTCAAAGGCAATATGAAAGGGGAAGAGTGCGCATTTGGAGAGAGTCTCCCCAGGGCCCTTGATACAACTGGACAGCTGAAAGGACTGATAGAGACTCAATCGCATGGGGGAAGACAAAGCATTAGTATAGCCTGATGGCAGCGGATGAGCTCAGGGAAGAATGGGATGTTTTCATGCTGCCTGCCATGGGAACTAGTTCAGGCCCTGAGGAAGAAAGGGGGGTGGGGGAGGTGACAGGACCCTGAAAAACATGGAAGCGGTGGGAAATTTTAGACTAGTGGGAGTGAGAGGAAGGAGGCTGGGCTTTTTCTTTCTCTAGGTAGCATGGTGACCCCAGGTTTCAATGTGGTATTTCAGGGATCCCAACAAGCCGGTACCCCAGGATACCAAGTTCATTCACACCAAGGCCAACCGCTTTGAGGAAGTGGCCTGGTCCAAATACAATCCCCGGGACCAGCTCTACCTTCACATCGGGCTGAAACCAAGGGTTCGTGATCATTACCGAGCCACCAAGGTAGCCTTTTGGAAACACCTGGTGCCCCACCTGTACAACCTGCATGACATGTTCCACTATACATCCACGACCACCAAAGTGCCGCCCCCGGACACCACCCACAGCTCTCACATCACTCGCAGGCCCAATGGCAAGACCTGGAGCACCAAGCGGCCGGCCATCTCACCCGCCTACAGCAATGAGAATGCCCCCGGGTCCTGGAACGGGGACCAGGATGCAGGGCCACTCCTGGTCGAGAACCCGCGAGACTACTCCACTGAACTAAGTGTCACCATTGCGGTGGGGGCCTCCCTCCTGTTTCTCAATGTGCTGGCCTTTGCTGCCCTTTATTACCGTAAGGACAAACGGCGCCAGGAGCCCCTGAGGCAGCCTAGTCCCCAGAGGGGAACGGGTGCCCCTGAATTGGGAACTGCTCCAGAAGAGGAGCTGGCAGCATTGCAGTTGGGTCCCACTCACCACGAATGTGAGGCTGGCCCACCCCATGACACATTGCGCCTCACAGCTTTGCCCGACTACACCTTGACCCTGCGGCGCTCCCCTGATGACATCCCACTCATGACCCCCAACACCATCACTATGATTCCCAACTCCCTGGTTGGGCTGCAGACCTTGCATCCCTATAACACCTTTGCCGCAGGGTTCAACAGTACTGGGCTGCCGCACTCACACTCCACTACCCGCGTATAGCTCTAGCCCAGAGCACAACCCATCTCCCAGCTTTCTCCCCCCCCCAGACCCACAAACACACATGCACACACATACACATATATGTACACGCACGCACCCACACCCTACAGCAGACCCATCTGCACAGACACAGACAGATGTGGACATGCACCCGCATGTACAAAAACACAAATCCAGAAAGTAAACCTGAACAGGCCCTTCAAATGGGGACACATATGAGTCCTTGGTACCAAGGGCCTCCGGAACAGCGGCTGGAGCCAGCTCCCTGAACCTGACCAGACACTCCTGGGGCCCTGGAAGCCACAGCTGGACACCCCCTTGGTGCTTGCCTTCTGGGAACTGCACCTTCTACCAACTGCAGACTCGGGAGCTTTAAAGAGCAGGAGAGCTCTTCCTCCCCCAGACTTGGTCTTTTTTCTCTGGGTCTTGTTTTTGTTGATTTTTTTTTAATGGAACCAATGTTTTTCCAGCCCATTGAATGCTAAGCAGCTCTGGAAGGGGGGGCTCTAAGATCAGGATTCTCTGGTTCTGGGACTCCCAGTGTTCATACAACCAGACCAAGGAAAAGGACCCTCCAAGACAGTGACAGATGGGAACAAGACTATGGGGAGGAAGAGGCTAGCAATGGACGGGGTTGGCGGGCCATCAAGGACAGAGCATCGACTGGCTCTGTGTCCCCATAGAGAACTGCAGCATCACCCTGGCTAGACCAGGGGAGCCTAGGTTTGGTAAACTAAGTACTGTGGAGGCCAGAACCTTATTGGGCCTCTGGGTATATAATCTGGGTTCTGCCTCTGCCCTTGGGGAAATGATATCAGAAATTTGCCCCATTTTATTTACAGTCTCTTTGTGTCTGTCATTTCTCTTTCAAAACAGTGGTGTTTTGGGTTTTTGTTTTGTTTTGTTTTGTTTTTTTGTTTTTGGTTGTTGTTGGCTTTTTTTTTTTCTTTTCTTTCTTTCTTCTATTTTTTTTTTTTTAAGCAAAGTTCTTAAAACACTAACGGAAACCCATGGAGTTTGTCCTTTGTAAAAATTTTAAACACAGTGTCTTGATATAAAAATAAAAAAATCCAGTTAGCACTCCCAACCTGCCTCCGTGCACAGGCCTGCCCCAACAGCCCCAGGAGCCTGGCGCCTGCTCAGGCTGGAAGCACAATTCTCCAGCAGCCTGGGGCCTCCTGCCTTGTAGCTCCCACAAGTCTGGGCTGTGCTCTGCTTGCCCCGGGCCCCCCTGCATAAAGCCTCTCTGATCCTAATCATGTTGCTGTACCATCCTCCTGCTCCAGTGCTCTGAGTTCCTGCAGCTGAAACCTGTCATCGCCTCGGGCCTCGTAATGAAACAGCAAAAATAAGCCTGCCTTCCTCCTCTGCCACCGGGCCACCGCCACTGCTGCCACCACCTCCTCCAATGCCATCACTACCATGGTCATCACCCTGCCCCCAACGTGGACTGGTGGCTAGGGGGAGGCTTGACCTCTGACCTGCTGAAATTCTTTCTCCTTTGGAAATGTGGTACACATGGCATCAGCCTGTGACCTCTTCTGCCTCCATTGATTTACAGAAGGGTCAATCTCCTTCCCTCAAGGGGTGCAGGTTTTCTTTTCTGTGAATTGGAATAGCAGAAGTCATTGGAGATCAATTTCTCTTGGGGACGGTTACAAGTGGCTCCCGGACAACTCTGGGGGATGGATTCCAGAAGGGGCCCCGTAGGGCTAGCATTGTGGGGTTTCCTATTGTCCTCTGTGTCTTGAAGGGCTGAACTTGAAATCTGTTCATCAAGTGTGACAGCTGGGCAGGGTTGCTGATACCTCAGAAGCCAGGAATAGAATTGTTCAAAGTGACCCTGACAGAATAGGGAGATGAGGCATCACAAGGCAGGATGGTGTGCCGAGGGAACAAGTACAAGGTAGTGTACTCAACGATCCAAACCCAGAACTAATACACTGATGTGCTGCCTGGGACAAGATGGCTGCTTCAACACACGGGAACAGGAACAGAAGGGCTGCGAGAGGAGGTCCATTTTGAGTCATTTCATGATTGGAGACAGGCCCTCTCTTCCTTCTTTCTTTTAGTCTTTCTGAAACAAAGACACTAGCATATAGTAACAAAAACATCAGGGAGGACCTGGGAAGTAATCACAGAGTGACTGTTAAAACAGAAGTCACCCCAGTGGCGTATAGTCCAATCCACTTCCACCTGGGAGGAGGAACAGGAAAGGGAAGACCAGGAGTTCAAGGTTATCCTCAGCTACATAGTGAGCTTGAGGCAATCCTGGAATGCTTGAGGCTCTGTCGTGTGTGTGTGTGTGTGTGTGTGTGTGTGTGTGTGTGTGTGTGTGTGTGTGTGCTATACATATGCAGGTGCCCTGGAGACCAGAAGAGGGTATCCAATTCCTGAGAGCTGGAGTTACAAGTGTTTACAAGCTGCCAGACACAGATGCTAGAAACCTAACTCGGGTTCTCTAGAAGAGCGGGAGGTGCTAACCACTAAGCCATCCTTCCAGCCCCAAGACTGTCAAGATAAAACAAAAATGAACAGAAAAGAGACCTAGAATGTGACCCAATAGTTTATGACCCTGCCGTTCCCCTCTTGGACTCTAGTCCTGCACTGGTTCGGCATCCCAAAGCAGCAGCAGCCCTAGCTTTGGGGGGCATACTTCAAGTTGGTGGGAAAGCAGTGAGGCTCTGGAGAAAAATGGGATCTTTAGGGCAAAGGCTCTGCTGATGGCTTACTTTGTTTGGCTTGATTTTGATTTATTTGTTTGTTTCTTATCTTTTTTTTTTTTCTGAGACAGGATCTTACTAGGTAGCCCTGGCTGGCCTGAAACTTGCTGTGTATAGACCAGGCTGGCCTGGAACTCACAGATATCCATCCACCTGTCTTTGTTTCTGGAGAGCTGGAATTAAAGGTGTGTACCACCACATCCAGCAAAATGTTCTCTTTTGAAAGATTTTATTTTTATTTTTTAGATGTATTTATTTTATTTTATATGTTTGAATGTTTTGCCTGTATATATGTATGTGCACTATGTGTGTGCCTGATTGATGCCCATGGAGGTCAGAAGAAGGGGTCAGATCCCTTGGAACTGGAGTTATGGATGGTTGTGAGCCACCATGTGGGTACTGAGAACTGAAACCCAGGTCCTCTGCAAGAGTAACAAGTGCTCTTAACTAGTGAGTCATCTCTCCAGCCCCAGATTTTATTTTTAGGTGTATGTGTGTGTGCACATCAGATCCCCTGGAGCAGTAGTTATAAGCTATCAATCATAGGTCAAGTGTGCTAGGAACTGAACTCAAGTCCTCTGCAATCATAGTACATGCTCTTTACCACTGAGCCATCTCTCCAACCCCAGGTTGTTTTTTATGTTTGTTGATTTGTTTTGTTCTGTTTGAGACAAGGTCTCTCTATGTAGTCCTGGCTACCCTGGAACTTGCTACGTAGACCAGGCTGGTCTTGAACTCACAGAGATCTGCCTGCCTCTGCTTCCCGAGTGCTGGCATTAAAGGTGTGTACCATTATGCCCAACCGTAGGTTGCTTTTTTTGTTGTTTTTAATATAGAAAGAAGGAAGCTGATGAGGAACATCCGACGATTTGCCATACCTACTATGTAACAAGTGTGCTATGACCATCTTCAAAATGTCACTTCTGAATAAAGAGCGAGCTGTGTTCTTTCATGGCCCTGTGTGCTGCACTCCTTCTGAGTGGAAACCAGACGAAGGGGAAACCAACAAGTGATAGAGGTGCAGTCAGGGGGCGCTCTGGGTACCCCGAAAACCCTCAACAGCAGCTGCCAAATAGGAGGACTGGGCTGTGGCTTTCACACTCTGAGAGCCTGGATAACGTCACCTTTTGCGTCCATTTTGTCTGTATTTCATGTTTAACCTTTAGTTGCTCCATTTCAGATATTCCCGTTGGGGCCTCTGGTAGTAGAGAGACTCTAAATTAGGAGACTGTCTGTCTCATGGAGGTGATTTAGAGGCATTTCTTCTCACACACTCAAGATGCCAGAACAAAGCCAGGGACCACCCAGTGAGAAGCTTCAGCTGCTCCTCACACCTTTCAAAGGCCTGCAGGGACAAGGTGATCTCCAAGACAGACAGGATTTCAAGATGACTGACAGCCATCCTAGGCCCATGTTTTCTCATGGTCTGGGCCTCCCAGCTAAGCAGCAGCAGCCCCCCCCCAGGCCACATCTCACAAATCATTAGTGTTTAAGTATAGGGTGCTGGTCACAACTATCTTAGGAGCTGTATTTGTGAGAAGGGTCAGAGGTTTGAAATCCCCATGCAAGAATGGTAACCGTGACCGGAGGGCTGTCCCTGTGCTATTTCTATAACTATCAAGGGTGAAGACACTTATCTGGGCACATACTATCAGGAAAGCAGTCTAGCCCCAGGGAGCCTCTGGCTGCTCAGAAGTGCTCCACGGCTGCCCAGTAACAGTCCACACAGCATATTTGCAGAGCACCTGGCAGTGTTTTTTTTTAAAACCCCACAGAAAATGGAATGGATGTGTTCTTCAGCCTCAGGACGACCTGTTATGAATGCGGAAAGGTGAACCCCACAGCTACAGATCAACAGATGTGGAGCCGATGGAGGGCAAATGAATGCAAGGCTCCTTGGGGACCACTCACAAAGCTAAAGATTGCTCATCCCTGTACAGAGTCAGGAAACACAGATCGTTCCCCCATCCAGCTCACCCCCTTTCATGGGGAGGCTGGAAAAGTCCATGAAGAGAAGGTCATGGCCACGGTTGCCTGGAATTAGACAAAGCATTCTTGGGACAAGACAGACAATTTCAGAGTGGGCAAAGGTAGATGTAGAGGGCTCTTAACTGCTCACGTGATCATATACAAAAATATTCTGCTTCGGTCACTAGGTCAGTTTTACCAAACCAAGTTTCCTAGAGGTGAATTCCCTTTTCTGAAGCCCAAGGTATAACAGCACAAGGGCAGCATTCTGTATTAATAATAAGAGGACCATCTTGTACATGCTGTTCTGTCCTCGTCAGTGTGAGGCACCAGACTTCAACAGAGATGCTCACAAAGTATGCTTCGAGAAGAGTGTGTGTT